CCATATGGGCATTCCAGGAGACCTGCATACCCCTGTGCCTCACTTGGTGCTCAGTGACCATCTGGCCTGGAGTGGACAAACAGCTTGGGACACTTCAGGAGTGAAGGAGCAGGTGTTCAAATGCAGAAGATGAGGAATAAGATTAATCTGTCCAAAATATACCGGGCAGTCATCTAATGTACTGAGTCTGGGATGATGCTGATGCAGACTGAGGGTCCATGTGTTAGCTATGAGCTGCAGGCAGTGTGGAGGTAGTCTGGTGAGCTTACGGACCCCCAGGAGAGAAGTGCTGGTCCAAAGACCTGAGTCACTCTTGTCATTATTTTTTTTCTTGACTCTCATGGACCCTGTTAGTGTCTGTAGGGCATTTTGTCTCTCACATTGGAGCTAAGTAAACAATAGCAATGGTCTTCTTGTTAACTTGTTTTAGACTATTCTAGAACTTGGAAAATTGTTTTGTGTTACTTAATATGTACATTAGCATGGCACAGACTTTGTTGTCAGAAGTCAAATAAAACCATAGCTGTGGGAATAATTAGTAATTTCCTGAGGATGCTGTTGAGATCACTCTAGCTGGGGCGAATCTCCATGCCCGCATGATTTCTTACTGATTCAGTCGGGCTCACAGGCATCAGCTAGAGGTTTTTGTAAGTGCTAGGTAAACTGACCAAGGCATTGGAGGGGTATGACATTTTCCAGATTGGTGTTTGAATAACATTTAGAAAAATTATATTGAGCTCCAAGCTATTTGTAAGGGTGTGCAGATGGTATGCTGTGATTGCTACAGAGAAGTCTCTCCTCTCAGCAGAGAACATACTCCATCTGCCCCAGTGAGAGCTGTGCTTGCCAGGCAAGGATGGAAATGGATAGGCAGAGCAGTAGCTACTGTCACAATCAGATGCAATGTTGGGCATTTTTATGGGGTACGAGTAAACCTTTGAATGGGAAAATCAATTAATTTCAGGTTGGTGCAAGCACAGTCTAGACTAAGAAAATCAAAGCAAGTCAACATCAATTTGCCTCCGACCTGAAAAAAAGAGAGCGGACTGCCTTTTAACAGTGTAGATGGATATTCACAACAGCAGTCTAAACTTTGAAGCTCATTTCTATTTACAGGCAGACAAGCAAGGCTTGTATGAGGGAACTGAGAGGCGAGTGTGATTGATATGCTGGAAAGAAGAAAAGGTGTGATGTGGGGGTTTTAATAGACCTTGCCACTAATTTGGCAGTGCACTTACATTCAGGTTTTCAGTCAATAAGTTATCAATCAATTTCATATGCAAGAAGATAATAATTGCCTATTTTTTGCTTAGTGGTGTTTTTGGTTAAGGTGTGGGTAATAGCTGTGCCTTGGCTTCAAGACTTTTTGATATGTTTATGAAAATGACACTTTTCCTCTTTCTGTGCCTCAGTTCCCAGATCTGTAAAATCACAGCAGTCTGAAATGCAGTGCCAGTGTTTCCAAGCACAGGAAAAGGGTGAATTCTTAGCCCAGTTTCAGCCAAGAAATTAGAGGACAAAAGCTCTCGAAGTAGCTCAGAGCCATACGCCAGATACTTTGTTTTTAGTTCCTAAATTTTGAAATGAAAAAATATTTTTCTTATGTTGATTGAGAATAGCACTTCAGCCACATGATCTCTTGAGCAAATGACCTTATGCATAGGAATATGTTCAGATACCAATATGGCTTTCAGGCTGGCCCTCTTGTTCGCTCAGCTCAGAGCATGGGTAATGCAGCTGTGCTGGGTGTCTACTTTCCAGCCAGCCAGCCATTGCCATCTTCTCAAATCACCTTTCAGGCTAGGAAGGCAAATATCCTTTTCCCACCACAATAACTCATCTCCCTGTCCGCCTGCACATGTTATGTTAGTGACCACAGGCAGTTAATGGTATATGGCTCTCCACGTTCTCGCCACACTTCAATGCACTAGAAATTGGGCAGCTATAAGGAAAAACGGAATTGCTCTCTACAGACATAAATGGCTTTTTTGTAAGACTGGAACTGGTCAGAGATGTCCATCATCACCACTTTGTCACCCACTAAAGATCTACTCCTGTTCTCCATGTACTAAAACACAAATTACTTCAGAGACTCACAGACCTGTTTTTCCCTTGAAGTCTGCTTCTGGCATTTTCTTTCTCTGAGTGGCAGAATACCTTCCACTTTTTTATTTGATCACTTTTGCACTTTGACATAAATCTTTCCCTGACATGCTTTACCTTGGCAGTTCCTAATATATCTGTGCCTAATGAGACAAATTCCAATAGCAGAAGTACTGATTGCTGGATTAACAGTTTCATATATTTTTTCCTAGAGCAAGAAGTAGAAAAATTCATCATCCATTATATGCTACTACAGTGGGAGAATTCATGCCATACCTGGAAAACATTTAGTTTCTCCTTTGCAATGAACTTAATGGATGCAAGACCACAACTTGAGAAAGAGAGAAAAAAATATAGTCATCGGCACTACATATCCTGTTACATTTCTCATAAAGGGGCCCCAGGGAAGAAATGGGCTTCATGTAAGAAACTAGATTAGAACTAGAGATAATTTATTATTTATTGTCTTAATAAGATCAACATTTACATGTTAGGATAAGTAAATATTGACTAGGTAGACATAGCCTGATAAGCAGATCAATCTGTTTATCTCTTAGGAATACATAGGAATTAACAAGCTTAATATTGTTCAGTATCTGAGACTCAGAGACTAAAATGCTCTGGTGTATTCTGAAGGAGTAAAAGGCCATTGTATACAACACCCCACCACACACCTTCCAATAAATAATTCACCACCACACACACACACGCAAAAAAGCCCCAACACTGCAACCAGAAAGAAAAGATATCTATTATTCCTAGAGGATGCATCTTCCCCATGCAACAAGAACTGTCATGGGTGTTCATTTCATGGTCTTATAGACATTTAACCATCAATCAATTCATCCACAAAGCACTGTTCAGAGGATCAATTTATTTCCAGCTTTTCTCTGCTATTAAATGGAAAATGCAACACACAAGGGGAACTTTGATTTTGTATGAGTGGGCTTTTACAATCCAAATGTCCCTTTTGAAGCATGCATTTAAATCAGATAGATATTAGAGGACATTTGGGAGTATACATTTGGGAGCACATTTCTGTATGCATATGGAAAGAGAAGGTGGAAACTTATAGTGCAGACTGTACTCCCTGATCTCACAGAAAAGTTCTTGTCATCTTAGAACAAATATGTTTTCTGTAGCTCCTTGGGTGCAGGACTCCCCAGTGAGCAGAATAAGGTAGGGTGGGGAAGGACGACAGTGTATTTTTCTGAATTTGGTTTTCTAGTATAAGTGCCTGGTGTTTTTTGATCTCTGAAATTGCTTGAGGGATAGCATGGAATAGCAGAGGTGCAGTTCCTAAAGAAGCATTGTCCTACAGAAGCACTGGAGTCACTTTCAAAAGAGAATCCAGCTGTCTGACCTGGCAGACACTCCATCCAAACAGCGGACAGCCATTTTGTCAAGAGCACGGAAATGCTTGTGACTTAGAGAGTGGTACAGTTTGTTACTTCTTTTCTTTCC